GGGGGGGGAGGGCACAGGGCATAGAAGCTGACCTGTAGAGAAGTGATAGACCTGATACTGAGGGTCTATGGAAAATTACAGAGCAGGAAGCCTTCTCAGAATGCTACATGGTGAACAAAGAAGGCAAGTCTTAGGAAGGCAAGGGATCAATCCAAGGCCACACAGCTGGTTAGTCCCACTTGTAGTGCATAAGAGGTTCAGTAAGTGCCTACTCTTCCCATCCTCCAGTCCAGCTCTTCACACATACATTCTGCTTCCCCACTACTTTCCTGGTGTTGACTCGAAGCTGGCAAAGGGTTAGAGATGCTTGAACCTCTTTCCCAAAGTGCTCTGACTTTCACAGACCACCCCCCCAACACACACACACACTCTGTGGACAGATGCTTGGGACCCAGCTTAGGCCCAGAGAAGATCTTGCTGCTAGGACAGAAGGTGTCCATGGTGGTCAACTGAAGCATATGTCCCCAAGAGGGCTGTGGCTCTCCCAACCCCATCCCACAGCACTTATGCCACACAGAAATATTCCAGATGTGTTTAATGCCACAGAGAAGCCTAAAACCTACATAAAGCTGCAGCCATCGTCCCAGTGCCTGGAGCCGGGGTGGTCCCCTGAAGGGACGTCAGCAGGGAAGATGCCTGTATAAGGCAAGAAACCAGGGCAATTTGCTGACATCCTTTTGTCCTCTGCCCTAAATGCCCAAGCTTCCTTTAGGAAAGACAGAAGAGGAAGTGGAAAAGGGGTAGGAGGAGGGTGTGTCTCTTTAGGGCCCCCTTCCTGCTTTGGGAGGATGACTCACACAGCAGGCCCTGGGAGGGACAATTCCTCAGACCAGACTAGGGCAGGCCAAGGCAAGTGTTCCGGAAGGAGCAGAGGGAAGTTCCTGGAGTGCAGTGGCCAGGAGAAGTAACCTGAAGAAACTAGAAGGGAGGCCTGTGGTCGTCCTCCCACTCCTTCACACTGGCCTCTGACTGGTGCCCCAGCGAGCACAGGATAGTTTCAGCACCGGCATTCGATAAGGTCAACATCTCCTCTGCCCCCCATCACTTAGCGCCTTTCTTAAGTACAACATTGTCATACTCTGTTCCCTGTGGCCAGCCAGACGCAGAAAAGTCCTGCCCTGCTGGGTAGACGTGCTGGAGGCTGCTGGTGTCCCTGTGAGCTGAGGCCTGCCTCCTCCAGGCTTCACCCTGGGGCTCCTGTGGGCTGTCATACAGGGATAGGGCAGCCACTCCCTCGGGCTCATCGTATATGTGGTCGGGCTGTGGGGCCGGGTGCTCCTCAATGCTGTCATACAGAGGGTCCACTGGGGACTGGGGAGGAACCGCCAGGATACCCCTGAAGCTTTTCCCCAGGTTACGAGCTACTGCATCGAAGGGCACCGCATATTCCCCCTCTGGGCCCCGCGGCCGGGTGGTGGGGACTGGAGTGGTCGGTGACGGAGGTGGCAGTGAGTCGTGGGGCCGGGAGTAGGGGCTTTCTGGCCGGGGCAGCACCGCAGGGACTGTGGCTGGCTGGGTTTGGGGCCCAGGAGGGGCACTGTTCTTCTGGGCAGAGATGGCCTCTTCCAGAGCCAAGAAGATCTCATTGCCTTGCCGAGTTTCAAACTCAAAATTGCCCTCTCCAGAGACACAACGCCGGCCTGCCTCAAAGGAAAAGGTTACCTGGGTGGAAGGGAAAGGGAGATTATTGGCCAGTCCACACAGTAGAGTCCCTTCTCCCAGACCCAGCTCCCAACCACAAACCTGTCACTTCCGACTTCCTTCCACAAGAACCATGAGAGCTTCTCCCCAAGTTGTTAAGGAAAAAACCCAGAGGGGGGTGAACCATCCCTCTGGGTTTTTTCCTTAACAAGCAAAGCCCTCTCTCCTGTCCCTTCCTTCTCCCTGCCATCCATTCAAGTGTGGAGGTTGGTATATATTCATTCTCAATAACACCAGCCCCTGTTTACTCCTCTGACCTCCCTACCTCTTCCTGTTCTCTGGTTCTTCTAGTCCCCACCCACTCCCCCTTCCCTCTCCTTCCCCTGGCTCTCTCTCCACTGGCTGTTTTCTTCTGCTGGTTTTTATCTGTCTTCCCTTCCTCCTCCCATGCTCTCTTCCTTCGAGGGCCCCTTTGTCCTCTCCCTGACAATCTCCTCTCTCACAGGCAGCCCCTGCTCACCTTGTCCCGCCCAAAGCGCCTCAGGAACCTGTAAGGCCACTCATACAACTTGGTGCCCAGCTCAGGGCCACCCCACAGCTCCAGTGCACTCTCTCCAGCCCGCAGGGTATAGGATCCCCGGAGCCGGCACCTCTCGCTGGCTTCTGTGGGTCTCATGGTCACAGAGAACTCCTTGCGGGGGGCCGCTGTGAGGGGCAGAGAGGGGAGGTGGATCAGGCAGTTCATGGGAAACAGATGGCCTGCCTCAACTCTGCTCTAAATAAGCATGCCAGAAGCCTCCAGAAAACACATTATCCACGTGCCTCCTGACCCTGCAGCCTGCATCTTGGAGGCTGAGCTGCCCTGTGACAGGTCATATTCCCCAAAATGCAGGTACCTCCACCTCCTACCCTAGTCAGCATCGTGCCCTGGCCACATGCACCCCGACCTTGTGCCCACATCCTTCCTGTCCCTGTTGCCAGAGTCACAGCCTTGTCTTCCCCATCTAATCTCCTGCCCTTACCCAGCCTCCTCCCCAAGTCCTGCTATCACAGCTGCAGGTGCAGCCGACCTTACCCTCCCAGCTTGCAGCCAACCCACCCACTGCTGACGCCATCCAGTGCCCTCTGTGAGGTGGAGCTTGAATGTCACCCTGTGCCCATCTGCTCCCCGCACACGCCCAAGTCAGTGGGCTAGACACATCACAAAAAGGGACTGCTTCGTCAGCAGAAAGTTCCACTGCCACAGGATACTTTAAATCCATAAAACTAAAACCTTCTCAGACACTCTCTCAGGTCCCCAGGACAGAGAGTTCAAAAGCAGCACCTTCACTGGATCCCCCAGCCTTGCCCTCTCCTACCATCAGGGCCTGGGCAAGAGGGAATGAGCCACAGGGGGATGGGGAGGGGGTGGGGGAGGCCTGACGCTGGAGGCAGTCCAGGCTCCCCCACCTCAGGCCACTCCCGGAAACGATGCAGAGAAGCCGATAAGGGGACTGGCCGGGGCTGGGGGCAACCACAGGGCAGGAAGACTCAGAGGCGGCCAGCCGCCGGCCCACAGCTCCTCCCCACCACACCCTGGGGAGGGCGCCCCAGGAGGGGAGGCAGCCCCTCACCTGCAGTCGTGCTGCTGTACAGTTCATTCTCCTCCATGCAGGGCCAGCTGCCCTTCCTCGTCGGCCCCAGCAGCTCCTTCCTCTGGCCCTGAGGAGGAGGCCAAGGTCTCACCACTGTCACCAATGCCAAGCCCCACCTGTGGCCCAGGACTTCCTCCAGAGCACACTCAGCCTGCTGTCCCTGTCTGCATTCTGGATTGGGGCCCCCCCGCCCTGCCAGGAACCACCCCCAACATCCTGACCTTGGCTCTTAGAACACCTGCCCACAGCAAGTACCGAGTGCCCCCACTCCCACCTGCATGCCCCTGCCTTTTCTGCATCACTGGATGACTCACAGGGAAGGCCAAGAGGCAGATGGCCTGCATCCAGTCACTGCGCTCTGCAGCGGGGGCTGCCAGCAGGTACAGGCGTTCCTTGGTCTCCAGGAAGAAGGCGCTGGTGTCCCGGGGGCTGCTGGCCTCCCCGCCGGCCTCAGCCACCCGTAGGCAGTCACTGAGGCGGATCACCCTCCTGGCGGCCTCTCCCCGGCGTGGCTTCTCAGGGCCCTCCTGGAGCTCCAACCGGGCCAAGGCGCAGCCTGACTCTCCATACAGCATAGCCCCAAACCGGCGCCATTTCTGAACCCAGACACATGGCAGGTGAGGTGCGGGGAGGGAGCCACCCAGAGATGGAGAGATGGTGATCAATGGGGAGACGAGGAACCAAGGGAGAGGGCGTGGGGCAGCACTCGGGTCAGAGAGAGAGAGGTGAAGATCACAATAGATCCAAGGAGTCAGAGGGGATAACAGGAGCCTTAGGAATTAGCAAGCATTGGAGACCCGCCCCACACGGCCGAGAAAGAGGCCTACAGTGACAGCGAGTGGAAAAGCAGAGGCAGAAGGGAGCCCCGTGGGGACAGACTGCAAGGCAGGCCCAACCAAGATCCGAGTCGAGAGGCAAAACGCCTGTGAGTCCCTGAAGCCCAGAGGAGAGATGAGAGGGTGGCATGAGGGCCGAGACCAGAGCTCATCATTCTCTCTGTGTGAGGCCCCACAGAAAACCCTGTGCCAGGAACTTCAGTCAACCCTATGGAACTTTCCTGCTTCACCCCTTGACAGGTTGGGTCATGAGAGAGACAGAGAAGCCCTTGTGCAGGTCAGCCGAGGGACAGAGGACTTCCTCATTCGAGGAGGCCAAGGAAGGAAAAGGAGGCTGGCCACAGAGACCCCGGCTCAAGCTTGACACCAGCCAAACTCATCCCACTGGGGCAGGAAAGGGAGAAGGAACTTCCACAGCAATGTCAAATTATCCCCCCACCTTGCCCTCCATTCCCTCCCAAAGCATCCCCGTGTTACCACAGAGCCTCAGAGGCAAGAAATGGAGTCAGAGCCCTCATGTACCCTCCTCCCCACTGGCGAACAGCCATTTGCAAAGAACTCAGCTTGGGGCCTGTTTGGGGAAGCCAGTGGCTGCTAAGGGTCTAACGTGGGGAGTGGCACAGTCCCCACCTTCCCATACAGGTTTTGGAACGTTCAGGGGCTCCCTCTCATCCCCGGGAATTTCTAGCAGCAACCCCCCCAGCCCCTCTACCCAGTCCCAGCCCAGCCTTGCCCTTACCTTTCCAAAAGTCTGCTGCTGCAGAAGATACAGGGGGCCCTGCTTCACTGCCACTTCTTCCATCCTCTCACCATGACGGTGCCCCAGCACTTCAGTTCTCTCCTTCCACGCCCGCCCTCTTTCCCTCCTCCCTGCCGTGGGTTCCCCCTAGTTCATTTCCTCTCTGCCTAGAGTTTTCTGCAATGTTCTTGTCTGCTCGATGATGACAAACCCAAACCAATAGGCCCTGTGGTTTCTTGCTGTGTGTGTGTGTGTGTGTGTGTGTGTGTGTGTGTG